TACCTCTACTGTGAAACCAAACAAAGGAAATAAACCAGAAGAAAGTTAACCTGCGGGATAACTGAGGAAAAGCATACAGAACAGCAGTCATAACCACTGGGTCCCTTCCAAGCTCCCCTTTCCACCCTTTATGAATGAACGCCACGTGGAGCTTATCCAGGAAATAAGTGAAGCAATACCAATTAAAAGCGCAAAGGTTACATATAAGACACTAATCCTGACTCCATAAATGTCACTCTCTTTGGTGTGTGTGTTGTCAGCGTGTTTAAGGGTGTGTGTGTTGTCAGCGTGTTTAAGCATGTGTGTGTGCAGGTGCTTGTGTGTGTGACAGTCTGAAGCTGATGGTTGGACGTATGCTTTCCTCTGTTGCTCTCCACCGGGCTTCTTTGTGGTGAGGTCTGTCACTGAGCCTGAAGCTTGCTATTTTAGCTAGACTGGCTGTCCAGCAAGATCCAGGACCCATCTGTCTCTGTCCCCTAGCACTGGGGTTATAGGTACTGCCCACAGTTCCTTACTTTGTGTATGTGCTGAGGATCCAAACTCAAGCTTCATGCTTGCATAGTAAACACTTTACATACAGAACCCTCACTCCAGCCCTAAACTGTAATCTTCGAGCTACATCACTGGCTCATTTGGTCTTTCAGACTCCATGGTGTAACTTGATCTCTCTCTCTGAAGGCCCAGCTTTGTTTCCTGTCTGCCCACACACATGCTTCATACCCTGAACTCAGTCACAGGCTCTCCTCACATTCTCTCACCACTTTCTGATTTGATGAGTGTTTCTTCCACGCTTAAAGAATTCTGTCCCTACTATTCCTCTAAATTACTGCTTGTCTTTTAGAAATCTGTTCTGGACTTCTGGAGTCCCAGTCTAATGTCCTTCATTAGAATTTTGTCTAGAATACTCAGCAAACCAGCTTCCTCCTCACACAGCGTCCTAGACCCGGAAGCTGCGGTGGCAGCTTGATTCAGCAGTTTCCTGACTAAAGGGAGAGCCAGAATGGGAGGAAGGGGGCTGCAGAGGTCACAGTCCAGACCAAGAGCCATTTTCTCAATGGAGGGTTAGAAGCAGATAAGAGGCAAGGTCCAAGGGGCTGAGCTTTGAAGACCTCAAAGGCAGAGAGAGACAGGAGTAGGGTATGGAGGTCAGAGATGCTATGTTGCTGCTTTTATTGATCTTCAGGCTTCTCCATTCCCCATGCAATAGACAAGAAATATCATTCAATCAAATTGGCCCTTTTGGGCCCTCTCTTAAATAACATCCTTTAAAAATTATTTTTATTTTTATTTATGTGTGTGATAAGTATGTGCAGGTACTTGTGAGGCCTGGAAGAGAATACCAAATACCCAATTCCCTGGAGCTGGAGTTACATGTGGTGGTTAGCTGCTAATGCGGGTGCTAAGAACTGAACTTGGGTCATCTGGAAGAGCAGCATACACTTTTTGGTTTTGTTTTGTTTTTGATTTTTTTGAGTTTTTTCTGTAGCTTTGGGGCCTGTCCTGGAACTCACTCTGTAGACCAAGCTGGCCTCGAACTCACAGAGATCTGCCTCCCAAGTGCTGGGATTAAAGGTGTGTGTCACCAGCACCTAAGCTGAGCAGCATGCACTCTTACTCATGAGTTATCTCTCCAGACCCATCCTCCTTCCCTCCCTCTTCTTTCTTCCTTTGTTTCTTTCTTATGTTAGTGTGTGTGTATGAGTGTGTGTGTTGGTGTGTACTCATGCCACAGTGCACACATGGATGTCAGAGGACAACTTGTGGGTGATGCTTTTATCTTTCCACCTTGCAGGGCCTGGGTGCAAAGTTGAGGTCGTCAGGTTTGGTGGCAAGCACCTTTACCTACAGAGCCATCTCACAGAGCAGTAAACCATTCCTGTGTAGTGGCACACACTTATAATTTCTCAGCATTCAGGAGGCAGAGTGAAATAATTCTCCTCAAGTTCAAGGCTCTATCTTCTGGCAATCTCTCACAGACATTTTCGTCGTCCTTCCTTACATTATACATATTTGGATGTGGCCTATTCCTTTCTACCTGAGTCACCTCTGGGAGAAAGATCACTGCTCTGAATCATCTGTGAAAATCCCTTGGGGCTTTAGGTTTAGCTGAAGTACCATAGAATATTTTTGTGTGTTTGCATGCATGTATGTATTTATCTGAGTCAGGGTCTTAATATGTAGTCCAGGCTGATTTCAAACCTTCTACCCTCTGCCTCTGCCTACTTAGTGTTAGGATAATAGGCATGTGACATCACATCAGGCAAATCTTACAAGTGTGTTTGTGTATGTGTATAAATCACAAATATGGGGCTGGAGAAATGGCTCAATGGTTGAGAGCACTGACTGCTCTTCCAGAGGACCTAGGTTCCATTCCCAGCACCCATATGGCAGCTCGCAAACTGTGTCTCTGGTTCCAAGGGATCTGACACCTCCACACCATTGCACATAAAATATAAAAAGTTAAATAAATTATTAAAAAAGACAAATAACAAGTATGGCTGTGTATGGTGGTGTACACCTTTGATCCAAGCATTCAGGAGGGAGAGGCAGGCAGATCTCTGTGAGTTTGAGGCCAGCCTGGTCTACAGAGTGAGTTCCAGGACAGTCAGGACTACATAGAGCAATTCTGTCTTGGAAAACAAAGCAAAAATATAAGTTGGCTATTATATTTACGTATATTCTCATATGTCTATAATTATCTACCCATTACTTGTGCTTATTTTATTTATGCTTATTTTATAATTAATGATTGAAATATTTCTTTAAAGATCTAACATTGAATTGTCCAGTGTCAAGTCCATAGCTTCATGTTGTCATTGAACCTTTGAAGCATAAGTATTCTAAACTGAGATATGCTGTAAGCAGAAAAAATACACACTGAGCAAATGAGATGGCTCAGTAGGTAAAGGAGCTTTCTGCTAAGCCTAATGTCATGAGTTCAATCCCTGGAACCTACATATTAGAAGGAGAGAACTCATTCCTCAAACTGTCTCTTGATGTCCACTTATGTACATATCAGTGCACCAACATATACACTATCTTACTTATCATTCATTCACTGTTCCCTTGACACAGCCTAGAATCACCTTGTGGGGGGAAGCCCCAGTTGAATAACCATCTTTGTCACATTGGTCTGTGGGATTATTGCCTATGAGGTATTCTCTTAATTGATGCAGGAAGGCCCAGGCCTCAATGGACACTAACATCCTTAGGCAGGTGGTCCTGGGCTGTATAAGAAAGCTAGCTAAATGAACAGTTGATTTCTGAGAAAGGGAGAGTCGGTTTTCTTTTAAGGACATGACTTCTGGCAGGACAACTACACCTCAGTGGATGGCTCTACACCCAGGAGTATATAGGTAGCATATATTGAGTGGATGGGTCATTTAAGAAAAGGACAAGAAGTTAGGGGTCAGAGGGGTGAGGGTGGATCTGGGAGGAGTTGGGGGTGAATATGATCAAAATATGTCATATGATATTCCCAAAGAATGAATCTTAAAAAGCAGCAGGGCCTACCTAAGTATGAGTGTGAACCAGTAAGAAAGTACCCTCCTGCCTTGGCCACGAGAGTTTCCTGGTCAAAGGTAATGCTGCCTGGAGTTCCTGTCCTGACTTTCCTCAATGGTGGATGGACTGTGACCTGGAAGCGGAAGTTAAAATAAATCCTTTCTTCCTCTAAGTGGCTTTTGGTCCAATTTTTTTTTTTTAAAGTGCAGAAACAGAAAGCAAACAGTACACCTCTCTCTCTCTCTCTCTCTCTCTCTCTCTCTCTCTCTCTCTCACATACCCCCCACACTCTCTCTCTCATGATAAAATTTAAATACATGTTGAATTTTGAAGTCTTGTTTTTAAAATGTAAGATGTATCTGAATGAAAATGAGGATATGACAGCTCCTGGCAATGGCTGAGGAGGAGGTTTTTATTGTAGATATGAGGGAGAGAACAGTCAGAGACATCTGGAAGGGTTCAGACTGACCTGGGTATGAGAGGAGAGAGGAGGGGAAGAGCAAGAGAGGGAGAGGAGAGAGAGAGAAAGAAGAGAGCCAAAAGCCAAGAGTGTGTGGGAACCAAGATAGCCAAATGGCTGAGTGAAGTACAATTCAGAAGCTGGGGTAGGGAGGTAAAGCCCAGTCCCTGGGAGGGAGGGGTTTAGGGAGGGTGAGGAGTGCTGGCAGGAGCCTCAGGTACTGAGTGAGACTTGCCCTGGGTTTCTTTGTGACCTGGCAGTATCTTCAATACATTTTATATGAATTGCATGTTGAATGGTAGAACTTTGGGATGCTGTGTTAGAAAAACTGTATTACTGAAATCGATTTCATATTTCTTTGTACTTTTTTCTACGTGGCTTTAAAGCTAATTCTGTTACTTGCATTTTGTAGAGCCTGTCCTCTCTTCTTCCTCTTCAGAGACCTGCACCATGTATTACTGGAAATTTTAGTGTTCTGTTCCCCCTCCCCCCCCAATTTTGAGGTCTCACTGGCTGTGACTTCAAGACAATGTCACATTTAATTATGGGTTTTTGTTGTTGTTTTTGTTTTTTCTCTGTGTGTCTTTGAAGCCTCTCCTGGCACTTGTTCTGTAGACCAGACAGGCCTCAAACTCAGAGATCTGCCTGCCTCTGCCTCCCAATTGCTAGGATTAAAGGCGTGCCCTACCACTGCCAGACTTTATGTTTCTACCTAGATGAAAACAATGAGTTAAGTCCATATATGTTATGTTATCAGGAAAACATCTGCCATAATTTCCCCTCTCTCATATGCAGATAACCCAGGCATGTGGATTAATGTGTGAGCACTGGTACACCCATTCTTGTGGCATGACAATAGTTTGGAACTCATATATGCTCTCGAGGCTTCAAGCTGCCTCCCCGCTGTCTAGAGAAGGGTTGAGTCAATACCAGCAGCTGTGTTAGTTTTCTATTACTGTATAACAGATTGATACAAATTTAGTAACCTGACTCATTTATTAGCTTATATTCTCTGTATGTTAACAGTCCAGTCACCATGGCCAGTGTCTCTGCTGGTGACTCCCAGTGCTTGGTGTCACAGGGTAAGTTTCCAGTCTTACCTCATCTGGTGGCTCCAGGTGGAGGGTCTACTTCTTTTTTATTAGCGGTATTCAGTTCCTTGGGGGTATGGGACTTAGGTCCCTGTTCCCTTACTAGCTGTCAGTCAACAGTAGCTAGTCTCTACTCTTAGGCGGTTTGCATTTTTTGCTCAGTGCCCCACCCCTATCTAACCGGCAAGCCTAAATCCCTCCAGTTTCTCTTCCTACAACTAGCCAGAGAAAGCTCTCCACTTTTAAGGGCTCCTGTCATTAAGACAGACCCATTCAAATATCCTCCTTTTGTGGTAACCATGACAACATAATGTGTGTGGGAATGACATCTCCTCTCTCATAGCTTCTCAGAACTGAGGCATAGAATGCTGGGGACACAGGATGATACAACCCACCAGTGTCCTGGTTGTCCGATGAGGTGAGTAATCCAGAGTGGCACCAGCAGGGAGCAAGGCACCAGAATTCTCCTGGGTAGGCAACCTGGCTCTTAGGGAGGACAAAGCCAGCAAGAGCTGAGTGCCCGTGAGGCAATGGCCCTTGTCTGGTTTGCCATCTTCCTTCCTAGAGATACAGATCTATCTCTGTGCTAGGAGGAAGTGACATTTCTGTTTTGCCTTATAGGACACCAATCTCTAAGTGCTTGAGGGCCACTAAATGCCCTTTGCCCTCATGCTGGAGCTCTGATATTTGTAGATAGAAATCCCACTGACCCTCACTTCTCACTGACCCCCCCCCTCCACTGCCCACTGGCCCCTGACAGCACTGGAGTCCCTTCTGCTGGCTTCTCTGAGCCTTCTCCAGGTGCGGGCAGGAGCATCTCTCTAGACTGTAGTCTGGTGCTGAGTGGAGTGGCCAGCACAGCCTTCACTCTTCTTGGAATTCACTTTTAGATTCATCTCTCCTGTGTTTGAGCTCTCATTCTAATTCAGCTTCCTTTAGTTCCCTTCAGCTCCTTGGGAACATGTCTTCAAGGTGCCAATTTCTGAACCTTTCTCATTAAGATTTGTGTTCTGTGAGCTGCCTCTTCTCTTTTTATTACCGCTATTACTTATTTGTTAGGCTTTTCTTTCATTCTCTCTGGCTTTTCAAGATAGGGTTTCTCTGTGTAGTTTTGAAGCCTGTCCTAGAACTTGCTTTGTAGACTAGGCTGCCCTCAAACTTAAAGCGATATCCTTGCCTCTATCTCCTGAGTGCTGGGATTAAAAGTGTGCACACCTGATTTCTCTTATATGTTTAAATGTTTAAAACTATTGCTGCCCAAATTGGCCTCAAACTCGCTTGGGAGTGCTGGCATTATAAGCATGTGCTTGCTACCCCACCTCACCCCAATGCAAGCTAGTTACTCAACTGAGTCACGATTACATTAGTGTGTGTGTGTGTGTGTGTGTGTGTGTGTTCATGTGTATTCATGTGCATGGGGAGGCTGAAATTCAATCAAACCTCAGGTGTTGCTCCTCAGGAGACACCCACATTTTAAAAAATCATTAAATTTTACTTATGTGTATATGTGCATGCACGATTGCTGTGGTACCCTTGTGAAAGCTGGAGAATGACTTGCCGGAGTCACTTCTCTCCTTCTACCATGTAGGTCTCAGAAAATCAAATGTGGGTCCGAAGGCTTAGTAGCTGGTGCCTTTTCCCACTGAGTCATCTGTTTAGCTCCAAAGATTTACTTACTTTTATGCATATGAGTGTTTTGCCTCATGTATGTATGTGCACTACATGTGTGCCTGGTACTTTTGGAGGCTAGAAGAGGGTATAAGGTCCTCTGGAACTGGAATTACAGAATGTAATTCCACCCTGTGAGTTCTGGGAACAAAGCTCAGGTCTTCAGCAAGAGAAGCAAGTGCTCTTAAACGTTGAGTCATCTCTCCAGCCCTTCACCTTATTTGTAGAGTCAGGGTCTCTCTCTTTTACCTGGAACTGGTTAATGCACCTGGACTGGCTAGCAGATGATTTCAGAGATCTGCCTGTCTTTCTCCCTTAATGCTGGTATCACAAGTGCACATCTGGCTTTTTTACATGGGTTCTGGGGTGGTCAAATTCAGGTCCTCATTTTGTTTACCAATTGAGTTGTCTCCCTAGCTGTTCCCTATATATATTTTACTTAAATTTTGTTGAGAATTCATACACAGGGGTTATATTTACATCATTTCCATCATCCCCTCTTTGCCTTCTAACTTTTCCTATGTTCCTTTCACTCCCTCTCAAATTCATGACATCTATAATTATACTATTATACATATATCCATGTACATATGCACGGGCAGACAGATGCAATCTGTTGAGCCCATCTATGTGTACATGTCTGACCACTTGTGTCTGGATAACCTATCAGAGATCAAGTCCCTGAAGAAAACTGATTTTCCTTTCAGCACCATTGGCTGCCTATAGCTATTCATCTGGGGCAAGGCCTTGTGAAATCCCCTCCACCCACATAGGCACACCAACTCACTACATAGGTCTTGTTTAGGCAACCATATTGTTGAGATTTCACGGGCAAAGCAACCCTATCATGTCTAGAGCACACTATCTAGCAAAAGACATCTTGGTCCTCTAGCTCTTCGACTCTTCCTGCCTCCTCTTCCTAAGGTGTAGGGGTTGCAATATAAATGCATACAGTTGGGGCTGGGCACCCCACAGTCACTTATTATCTACATTTTGACCAGTGTAGATCTCTGTAATAGCCGCTGTCAGTTGCAAAAGGACTCATTTTTTAATTTCTAAAAATTAATGTATTATTTTATGTGTATGAGTGTTTTGCTTGTATGTTTATATGCGTACCATGGATGTACCTGGCACTCATGGAAGTTAGAAAAAGGTGATAGATACCTGGATACCCTGGAACTGGGTATCATAGATGGTTGTGAGCCTTCATGTGGGTGCTGGGTATCAAACTCTGGTCCTCTACAAGAAGAGCAAATGCCCTTAACGATTGAGCCAACTCCCCCAGGAAGATCCTTGAAGAGAGTGAGAGCTACATTTTATGGGAGGGCTGCTGCTCCCATTTAACTCCTATTTAACTTTTTTTTTTTCTTTCTGAGACAGGCTCTCTCTTATGTATCTGTGGCTGGTCAAGAACTCACTACGTAAAACAGTGATTCTCAACCTTCATCATACAGTTCCTCATTTTGTGGTGACCCCCAACTATAAAATCATTTCACTGCCAAGGGTTGAGACCTACAGGTTGAGAACTGCTGATGTAGACCAAGCTGGGGTTGTAATCACAGAGATCCTCCTGCCTTTGTCTCCCAAATGCTGGGATTAAAGGCGTGCGCCACCACACACAGCTCCTCATATTTACCACTAACAAACATATAAAGAAAACATTGCTATCCATTGGGAAAAATTGGTAGATCTTACATATATAGGTGTTAACAGGAAGGAAAAAAGGAAGGAAAGGAAAGGGAAGGAAGGAAGAAAGGAAGGAAGGAAGGAAGGAGGGAAGGAAGGGGACTGTAGCTCAGTGGAAGGGTACTTGCCTCACATGCTGCATACCCTAGATTCAATCCTCAATCCTGCTTTAAAAAAAAAAAAGGATGAAATAAAAATGTTTCTAGTTGCTGGTGAGCTCTGGTCTGACCCAACATAAAGCCTCTCCCTCTTTTCTGGCTGTCTGTACCCAAAGTACCCAAAGGTATTTTTAGTCAGTTCCCAGCTTTTTGCTGGGTAGGAAGACAGAGGCAGGTGGATCTCTGTAAGTTCCAGTTTAGCCTAATGTGTCTACATAGTGAATTCAAGGCCAGCTAGGGCTACATGGTAAGACCCTGTCTCAAAAAAACAAAACAAACTACAACAAAAACCCCAACTCAGAACCTTTTTTTTTTTTTTTTTTTCCCTTGGTGATACAATGCATTTAGGTTGCAGGCTACATGCACATAGTACTGGAGCTACTCTGGCTGTATGAACCCTAACCCACCCTTCTCTAACCTTGCTGCTCAGGAAGTATGCTCTATAATATCACCTCCCATAGTACCCCATGTGTCTTCTCCATAGTATAGAAGCTGGCTCTTCCATCTGAAGTGCCGACTGCCTCCTTTCCACCCTGAATTCCTGTCCTGAGAAAACTTTGCTATCTGTACAGACATCTGCTGTCTCCCTAAGGATATGGTGTCCAGTTATGTGATGCTACCATGTGACATCTCATGGAGGAAAAAGGCCAGGGTTTCTATCTAGCTTTCTCCAGCACTTGGTACCCTACATTGCACACAGTGGGCATTCAATGACTACTTGTGGTCTGATGCGCAGTAAGGGTCCAAGTAAGTGTGAAGCAAAGCATGTCATGAGTTCCCATCACATTGCTTCAGGCAACAAATGTCTTCCAAAATGGTCCTTTTTTCCTGTCCTTATTGAGCTCCACATGTTTTCTGAGTTTTACCCATCTCTTTGAAACCATTCTTTTGCTCATTGGTAGAGCCCTTGCCTAGCATGTGAGAGGCCCTAAGCTCAATTCCCAGAACTGCACATACACAGCAAAGTTCATTTTATTGGTTCTGCTATCTTTAGGGCTCAAACAGTTCCACACAGTGCCTTTTATGAACCTTTTTCTCAGTATTGTTACGAACCAGGGCAAGGAGCTTAATTAGATGCTTGGGTAGTGATAATGGTTAATGTTTTCTTGCTGGTACTTAGCTTGAGCCTGTGAGTTCTCTAAATGACTTCCCACAACAGTTCTCAAGGTAGACATTATTAGTCCTATTAAATGGAAACGTAGGTTTGGAAACAGCTTTGATCTGAGCCACATTGCTAATTATGCACCAGGGTCTGGGTTGAACTCTAGATTCTGATTTCATACACCATCTCCTTTCTAAATGTGGGAATATAGCTGCTGTCAAATTTTGGAAAGCAGTTTAAAAAATATGAATAGCACAATTGTCGGAAAATTCATTTGCCTTGAGTTGTGTATGTATATGCATGCATGTACACTGTATGTGTGTGTATACAGAGGTCACAGATTGACATCACATATCTCTTATCATTCTCTATTTGGCTTTTAGAGACAGGGTCTCTCATTGAACCTGGGACTTGCTGATTGGGCTAGTCAGGGATTCTCTCTGTCTCTGCCCCCCAGTGCTGGGATTATAGGCTTTTTCCATGGGGGCTGGGGATGGAACTCAGTTGTTATGCTTGTACAGCAAGTCTTTTCCCCACAGAGCCAGCTCCCCAGCTTTGAGATCTTCAAAAGATTTTTTTGGTTTAGTAAGACTGCAGAATCAGACCAATGAGGCAACTATGCAGGCTCAGAAGAGATTAGGAGCTAGTTAGACCAGCATGTTGCTTCCTGCTGTCCTCGGTGTTTCCACTTGTTATGGATCTGGACGTGCACAAGACAGCTCCTTTTTAACCTTAACAACCATGCTACTTATCAGTATCTTCAGAGGCCAGCTACTGTGCCAGTGAAGAACGGTGGTGTCTGTTTTCTGTCCTTGTTCTTCTTTGGGAGCAAGATTGTACTTGGGAACAGTCTTAAAAGCAGTAAAGACACATCCTGTCTCTGACTGTAGAAAATTTAGTTTTTGGTAGTTACAAACTGGTTTTTGATATGATGAAATCCATTGTCAATGATTTTTGTGAAGTAAAGCAAAATTTAACATCCCTCTCCAACAGGGCTTCACTATGTAGCCCTGGCTATTCTGGAACTCACTATGTAGACCAGGTTGGCCTTGTCTCACATAGATCTGTTGGGATTAAAGATGTGTGTCACCATGCCTGACCTAAAAATTTACCTTTATTTTAAAAATATGAATCATAAAGTTTAATTCATAGTTTTGTTTTAAATAATGAAGGCTAAATTAAATATGTAGAGACTACTATTAATATTGAGCAAACCATCCTGTATATATACTGTTAAACAATACTATCATCTAAACTAGGCACATGCATGCAATCTAACCATGTGAGAAGCAGAGGCAGGGGGATTGCCACAAGTTCAAGGTCACCCTAGTCTACAGAGGCAGTGCCAGGTCAGTTAACAATAACCCCAACAACAGTAACAAAATGATATCCATCTAAGTAATCAGAATTGTGCCCGTCTCAAAAGGGGTGTGTGGATGGCCGTAGCAACAGAAACTAGATGCTGTTCAATCACACATTTTTATTACTTACTTTTTTATTTACTCTTGTTTTTTTCAAGACAGGGTTTCACTGTATAGCCTTGGCTGTCCTGGAACTCTGTAGGCCAAGCTGGACTTGAACTCACAGAGATCCGCCTGCTTCTGCCTCCCTAATGCTGGGATTAATGCATGTGCCACCATCAACCAGCCTCACACTTTTATAAAGTATGAAATAATCTGTAACCATTCCCATGAAGATTGTTATCTTTTATGGATAAGTGGTAGACAATATTAAGCTGACCACATTTGCATGTCAAAGAGCAATGCAAGCACATGTATGATACTTGGAAAGTTTTTTTTTTCCCCCTTAGGAAAGTTTCTTGAAACAATGTGCCTTTAAGTATTCTATCAAAAGTTCTACTCTATCACATTATTCTTACTCAGTGAAATAGGATACAAGGATGTCACTGACCAAAAATGGCATTAAATGTCAGGCATATGGTTACTGTACACAAAAGAACTGGGAAGTCCAAATGCTTATGGTATGATGTATGTTAAGATCTAATGGCTGGGGGCTGGAGAGATGTCTCAGTGGTAAGGGCACTGACTGATCTTCCAAAGGACCCAGGTTCAATCCCCCACACCTGCATGACAGCTCACAGCTCCCTGTAACTCCAAGTCTGACAACCTCACCCAAACATAATTGCAGGCAAAACACCAATGCACATAAAATAAAAATAAATTATTAAAAAAATGGATCTAATAGCTGGTTGATAGGCAGAAAGTGGAATCAAGAGGAACTGAAAATAAAATTGGTTACTTTTGTTGTTTTGCATTTGTTATTATCTTGGGGACGTTTGAATTTTTTCATTTTCTCTAGGCACTTAGGATGTGCCAGTTGATTAGAACAGCCATCCCCACCATCAGAGGTCTGCATATGTAGTTCAGTGAAGCACCCACCAAGCAAGAAAAGCCCCTGGCTTCTGCCCTTAGCACCGCAGAAGTCATCACTAGCCAACTCAAGTAGCCAGCTTCTACCAGGGATACATTGTGAAGCTTATTACAGGGAGAACAGAGTAGGGGCAAGATGGGAAGGTTTGGGCCTGTAGCAATTTAAAGTAGTGGATTTAGGCTAAGTGTCATTGTTAAGGGAGATCTGAGTGGAATTGAGGGGCGAAGGTAGATGTTAAAGAATGTCCTAGTCCCTGAGTGGCAGTCTGGAATATGCAAGCAGCAGTGAGAGGTTGGGGATTAATTCTGAGACCTACAGGGGAAAAAACCAAATCCTAGGGACTTCGTTAGCCATTGTAAAGAAAGATCTTATCTTCTACAGTAACTGGAACTCTGGTGGATTTTGATCAGATGAGACATGAGCTGACTCTCCTTGAGGGAGGATATTCTCCCTATTGTTTTGACAACAAACTGGGTTGATGGTGGCCAGGGGGGTCACTATAGAAGGTCACAGAAGTATAACTGGGATCACAGATGACAGAAACAATGTAGGTGAAAAGCTGTCTGATTTTGGTTTATTTTGGATGTAGAACTACACCAACTACTCTTATCGACAGAATGGCTATAAGAATGAGAATGAGAGGAACCAAGAAGCACTCGTGTTTTGGGATTGAGCTGCTAGAAAATGCCCATCAATCGCCATGGGCAGCTTAGCTCCATTTTTGAGTATGTGCAGCTAGATTTCAGGTAAAAGACGTTCATTTGTTTCTTGCTTCTGGGTACACAAAGTGTACAGCTAATATAGTCATAAAACAGAATGTCTTGGCTGAGGCAGGAGGACTTCTGTGAATTCCAGGAGGATTCTACCCCAAAAGACCTTAGGCGTGTGACACACTTATAATCTCAGCATTTGGGAGGTGGATGCAGGAGGATCATGAGATCCAGGCCACAGTGAGTCTAACGCCATTGGGGCTACCGAGAAACCCTGTCTCAAACAACAGCAACACAAACGAAATCAAAATAATGACCCCACAAGAAGTCACAGAGACGCACTGGACACTTTTCACACATTTCAAATGCCAGCTAGACGCTTTTGGATCTATGCCCGCTAGTAGCCAGTGATTCTGATTCCTTAAAAGTAACGTCACTGGGGGTTTGAGGCAAATAGTTCTCAACTGCCTCCAGCTGAGAGAGACTGGTGCTGGCCAGTTCTACCCCGCAGCGCCCCAGCTTGCCCTAGTGCGTTCATTTGCGGATGGGAAAGGGTTGTGGCGCGTGGCCGAGGCCTCCACCTTCCCCACGGCGCACCCAGTGGGTCACTTTGCGCGCGCCTGACATCTTGGGGGTCTCACCGCTCTCCCCCTCACTGGGCGGGGCCTCGCGGCGGCCAGCCCGCCTTCTGGGGGAACAGGGCGTGCCCTTGCGGTGGAGGCGTGGTCGCGCAGCCGTAGACACCGCCCGTGGCCCCGCCTCTGCGCGCGCGAGCCTGGGCAGGAGGGCGGAGCCCGAAGCAGGGAGTGCAGCTGCGGGTGTGTGGAGACCCTAGGAGCGGCGGAGCCGGCGCTCGGAGCCGCGCGGCCAGAGCTGACGGCCGAGACAAAGGCGACGGTGAGTGTGGAGAGGGCCCCACGGTGGCCCCGCGGCTCGAAGCGCCAAGTGCAGAGCCGCCGTCCGGAAAGCTGAGGGCGAGCGCGGCCCGGGCCTCGCCGCGATGCGGATTGGGGCTGCGGGCTGAGGCTGAGGCTGCGGCGGCTCCATTTTTCAGGTTTGGGCGAGGTCCTCACGCGAGGACCGGCGTGTGGTGCTCCTCATTCTCTGCGAGGCCGGCTTCCCCCGTAGCCTGTACCCTCCCGACGGGGGAGGCGCTGCGGACCCCTCCCCCCAGCCCGCAGCCCCGCCAGTCTGGACCGGCTCAGCGCCCGGGCTCCCGGACCCCGACTCCTGCCCAGCCTGCCCCGGACCCCGGGAGAGGAAGCCGGGCCGCCGCCTCGCAGTCGCTCCCGCGACTCTTACAGGTTGTTGCACCGGGAGCTCGCAGCCGCGGTGGTGAGCATTACTAACGGGTGTGGTAGGTAGCGGCTCGCTGACGTCGCGTTCCGAGCTGAGGAGCAGCCCCTGGCCGGCTCATTTCGCGTAACCCCGGGAATTCCTCTTGAGCAGAAGTGATTGCTGCTGATAACCTTTCGTGGACGAGTTTGGTGGTGATGTGCAGAGCTGGGAGTGGAGCTCAGTGGTAGAGAACTTGCCTTGCACGCCGGAAGCCCTGAGTGGTTCAGTCCCCAGCACCCCTGCCCGCCACAAAGAAAAAAGGAAAACTGTAATTGCTGTATTAAAGAACCGAGCTTATAATATGTGCTCAATAAAATACTGGTGCAATGAATGGGTCTCGAAACACTGGACAGAGCTGATCCTACTAGTAAGATTAGGCACATACTCTCTTGACTCAGATGTAGGACTATTGGTGTCCCTCGCTCCGTGTAAACTATTGATAACTTTTTCAGCCATCGTCAGCTTGGTAGACAGTACGCTTGAGATGTGGACTTTTGAGAGAAGTTGTTTTTCAGTTCTCTATTTCTTCACAGACCCTATTTCTCATCTTCTTTGGAAATAATGGAGGCTATAAAGGTGTTTGGGGTGTATTTTGAGGGCTAGATTTCTATTTTGTATGAGTAAAGCAATGTATGTGTTTTTGAGGGACTGTGGTATGATCTTGAGAATCTGTCAGGGAGAGCTCTGAACTTTAGGGGGAGGGTACCTAATGTCTCCCTGGTGGTTAAACATCACCGTGTACTCAGCATCTTCACTAAACACATATTAATTGCACAGACCGGTGTTGGATGCTGTTTGTGGAAGGGACAAAGCCCCAAATTATTTCTCTCTTAAGCTTGAGCATGAAGTTCATTCTGTGGTGTCCAAGTAGCAAATGAGGACTTCCTCAAACCTGCTTCATTTAGGAAAGGTGGCTGGAGAACTTCAGGAAGTGTTAATTCATGAGCAGTCTGCTTAAAGTTAATGAGTAACTCTCTAAGGCTAAGATTGTTGGGTTATAGTTTCATTTGTCAGCTTAATAAAAATCCCTGTAGGTTTTTAAAGTGATAGGAAGATTGGCTTCAACAAGATAGTGTTGCTATTCTCCCCTGAACTAGATTTTCATGCAGTGTTTTTATTGATGGTGTGATTTCAGATGTGTTTCAGTAAGAATCTTTGTAGTAACATTTTCTATAGTTAAAAAAAAAAAAAAAAAAACTTGTGTGGTGGTGGCAGCACTCAGGAGACAGAGGCAAATGGATCTCAGTGAGTTCCAGGCCAGCCTGTGCTACAAGAGAAAAAGGAAAAACAAAAAACAAAACAAAACAAAACAGAAACCCCAAAAACACTTCTCAGAGGTTAAACCAGCCCATGTTGCTCTTAAAGAGGACTGGAGTTAAGTTCCCAACACCCATACCTGATGTCTCACAGCTCTCTGTAATATCATCTCCAGGGGGTATGACGCCCTCTTCTGGTCTTCATAGGATGCTTGAGTATATGTGACATATAGACACAATTATATAACAGTAATTAAAAAAAAAATGGGCAGGGGATGTGGGTAGTGAAGCCTCTCATTCAATCACCAGCACCACAAACTGATGTGATAGTTTGAGCCTTAATGCTAGCACCTGTGAGGCTGGATGAAGAAGGATCTTGAGTTCAAGGTCTTCTTTGGCCTATTTAGTCAACTTGAGGCCAGCTTGAGCTATATTCAACTCAGAAAAAAGCCCTTGAAGATAAACTGGAAGCTTTCTTTTGTTTTCGATATTTTAGCCGTTCTATTTGATTTCATTTCATTTTTAACAGAGCCAGGGATTCATGCACGTACCAGGCTCTGGGTTCCATCTTCACTACCACAAAATAAGGGGTTGAAGGGTAGATAGAAATGTCTTAAATGAAGTGCCTCTTCAACAATTTTGTTTTGGCTCCTTGATTGCCTTAAAAAAAAATACTATTGAGTGGGTGGTATTGACAAGAGAAGGATTATTAGTAATAATATGTGGTGCTGTTTGGACTTTGCTGCTAGTATGACAACTATGATAAAATTGCTTATTAAAATGAGGGTGTGGGTTAGGCATCGTGGTATGCATCTTTTATCGTAGCATTTGGGAGGCAAGAGGCAGGTGGATCACTGTAAGTTTAAGGCCAGCCTGGTGTACAGATCTAGTTCCAGGCCAGCCAGAGCCACAGAATAGGGGAGGAAAACAACAACAAAGGATGTGGGCCGAGGACATGGCTTAGCTGCTAATGTGTTCAACATGCACGAGGCCTTGAGCTTGAGCCCCAGCACTATATAAATTGAAGTACATTACTGTAATCCTAGCACTGAGAAGACTGCTTACCAAGTCCCAGTCCAGCCTAAGCTACATGAGACCCTGTTTAAAAACAAAACCAATCAACAAAACAAAACATTCCCCCTCCAAAAAACAATCCAAATGGTGAAGACTTAAGATGTAGCCCAGTTGGTAGAGCATTTTCCTAGCATTCCAGACCTAGCTTTGGTCCCTGGGCTCTGTGTAAAAGAAGGGGTGGTGGTGCCCGGGCACATTGCTTCAGGAAGAAAGAGGTGGAGAGTAGCATTGCATTGATTCTGAACATAAAGTTTCTGTTGTCTTTTGTTGTTGTAGGGTAAGGCAAGCCAGAGCCTCATGTGTTCTACCTCAGTTGCACCCCTAATTCATTTTCACTTTATTTTTATATTTTCATGTGGTTTAAAAACAATGACATTATGTCCTACATTGACTTTTTGGTCAAAAGCATTGACATTTTATGGCTGTTCCTAGCGATAAGGGATTAGAATGTTTTGATTTTAGATAGGTAGAGATCCTATTTTTCAGTGTTTTTTCTTCTTCTTCCTCCTTCTAATAATAATAATAATAAAATAATAAAAATAATAATAATAATAATACAGATAACTCCAGACATGTTATTGGTAGAGAATCTTGATCATCTCTCTCTCTCTCTCTCTTTCTCTTTCTCTTTAAATGACTATTTAAAAATTTATTCATGTATTTTAGGAATATGAGTGCTTTATTTGCAAGTACCCTTACTTGCTAGAGGCATCAGATCCCATTATAGATGTTTGTGAGCCAACATGTGGTTGCTGGGAATTTAACTCAGGACCTCTGGAAGAACAGCCAGTGCTCATACATTCTGAGCTATCTCTTCAGCCCTCCCTTTCTCTTTTAAAAATTCTTTATAGATTTTATTTTGGGTGTAAGAATATTTGCATATATATATATGTGTGTGTGTGTGTGTGTGACACACGCACACACACACACACACTTTGTGTCTAGGGCCCATGGAGGTCAGAGGAGGTATCAGATTCCCTGGAACTGGAGTTAATGGATGGTTGTGGGCCAAGCCACCATGTAAATGCTGCAAATTGAACCCAGATTCTCCATAAGAGCAATTGGTTTTCTAAACAGCTGAGCATCTCCCCGGCCCTTCCTTCGTTCGTTCGTTCCTTCCTTCCTTTCTTTCTTTAATTAAATGAAAATTAAGATTTCTGTTTTTATTTATTTTTCTTAAATTTGTATTTTTTGAAACAAGGTTTCTCTGTGTAACTCTGGCTGTGCTGGGAACTTGCTCTGGCTGGCTTCTAAGAGATCCCTCTGCCTCTGCCTCCTGAATGCTGGGGTTAAGGGTATTTGCTACCACCACCTGGCTCTGTTTTATTTTTAATTATGTGTCTGGTATGAGTATGTGCATATCAGTGAAAGTAAGTGCCTGCAGAGGCCAGAGGAGGGAATGAAATCCCCTGGAGTTAGAGGTAATTGTGAGCCATCCAGCGTGGGGGCTAGGAACCAACCTTGGTTCCTCTGCAAAAGCACTATGTGCTCTTAACTGCTGAGCCATCTCTCTAGCTTTGACAGTTCTTTAAGTGTTACTTTTCTTGTAGGAAGCGTTACATGAGGATACACACCACATAGTCTCTGTCTGTAGAATGCCGTAGTGTCTGGGTTTTCATAAAGTATTCTATTATAGTCATATGGTGAGGAAATCACCTAATGATATATTTTGCAGAATGTCTCCAGCATTGAATGATGTTTGAGCCCTTCAGAAGTTCAAATTAATGTTCTTCAAAGTCCATCTCCATCATTACAAGGTAATGAAGATTTACCACTGTTTTTACAGTTAGCTTTTGAATTTAGTCAGCCCTTATGACTTACCAGTGCGTGAAATATTTTATCATTGTGTAGATCGTGTGAGCATTCAAATAGGACTCTCCAAGTTTAGACTTTGTTAGCTTTTTAAAATGGCTATTCTTAGGCATAACAAAGGAAGTCATGAGTACCTGAAAACAGAACTTTCTGATTTTAGGCTTACTGGCTGTTTACTTTTCATTGTAGTTGTTCTTAGGACCAATAAAAAAAAGTAACCCCTCAAATTTTAGTGGTAGAGAGTTGTGATAGTTTTAGAAGGTTTATTTCTCGTGGGAAGTTATTTGATAACATTCCATGACTGCCCAGTAAAGAACATTGAGCTGGCTGTGATGATGTCTGATATAACACACTTCCTGCTCAAGGGTGACTGCTCACCCTTGGCCAGCTTGAGGATCCACAAGAGTGGGGTCTATG